CAGCTCTCAGCCTGTGTTGCAGCAAGCTTATTTAGCAAGAGAGACCTAGGTACAGATTCAAATGCAGATGTGTAAATCAAGGAAGGCACACCGAACGTATTTAGCTCCTCTATCTGTACTAGAGACTATACTATGATGTAGGACAACAGCGGAATCTAACGTACACCTACTATGTTTATAAGCAAACTGGTTGGGGTCATTGAAAGGCTTTAAAGAGGGTTCAAGATTAAGTAAAATAAGTCTTTCCATAACTTTCAAAAAAGGTGAGGTAATAGCAATGGGTCTAAACTTAACATTAGATCCACTTGTAGATTTAGGCACTGGAACGATCTTGATATTTTTCCATGAGTCAGGTATAGTACTTTTGGAAAACGATTCGTTGAAAATGTCAGTTAATGGGGAACACAAGATGTCGGCACACTTCTTAAGGATAACAGCAGGAACACCATCAGCACCAAGGGACTGAGTAGGCTTGAAAGATTGAAGACACTTGAGGACATCATTCGTGTTAAACCATGAGAAGCAGTCATTATTTACACTATTTGAGTTTGGTATCATGACATTTGCTGGGATACATATAAAGGATTCATTAAGCATGTTAACATCTACAGAAATACCATTCATTTTTTGCTTACCACCTGTGATTTCCTTTAATAACTTCCATATATTAGATGGGGATTTACATGAAAGAAACTTCTGGTTATAGAGAGCATTCAATCTTTGTAATTCAAGTTTAATCAAAGTGTTCATTCTCTTAACACCAGATTTGTTTTTCATTTTGAACAACCTTTCTTTTTCACGGCGGAGCTTTTTGAGTTGAGAAGAGGAGAAGCGGTTGAATTTTAAGAAGATTGTCTCTTTCGGACAACAAATATCAAGACAGAAATTAAGATAATGTGTTATGTTGGTAATTGTGTTATTAAGAGCTTGTTCAGTAAATAAGTCCCAGTTTGTGTCCTTTAACATGGTCCTTAGATTCAGTATGTTGTCATGAGAATAACATCTGGGCAATATTCTTATGATACAGTGATCAGAATTGAGTAGTGGGACTCTTTTTCGAGCTTCAAATATTCCTGTGTCATTTGTCAACACAAGATCAAGAGTGTTATCCATTCTAGTCGGGAAGTTGACAATGTTATCGTGTCCAAGTGAAATAAGAAAGCTGTGATCACTAGAATTGAAATCTCCAGTAACTATAGACAAGGAATTTCCGAAGGAGGTGTCAGCAAGGGAGGTAAATTCATCCGCAAATAAAGACAATTCTGTGGAATTGCATCCAGAAGCAATATAAATGTTCGAGATGTAAATGTAGTTGTATTTTGATAAATGTTTAGGTCGACACTTAACGGTGAGGCAGTCAATATTGTCACTAGAGAATTTGAAACATACATTATTAGACGTACACCGTTGTGAATTGATGAAGATAGCGACACCGCCACCGCGTTTCTTTCTGGAACTACACCGATCTTGTCTGAATAATTTGAAATTATTTAGATACATTAGATTATCATCATATAGATCATGTAGCCATGTTTCTTGAAGTGATATGATCCCAGTATTGCGATATATAATGGAAGACACAAGCGATTGAAGACAGTTAATTTTAGCTGGCAGGGAGCGACAATTAGTGCTCATAATTGTGGGAACAGTCATGAATTGAATAGGGGTATATTTTAAGGCTCTTGGCCACCCGGCATGATGCTTTTTTTGTCTTTTTTTATGGAATTGCAGATCAGTAGGTTTTAAGGATATTAAATACTCGCGAGAATAAATAATCCGATTAGAGGTCATATTTGAATAAGATTTAGTAATTTAAAATGAATTGGAAATGAGAAATGAGATGCAATATGATTTGTAATGTTCAAGGTATTTGGTAGCCTAAGATTTAAGCAGGCCGCCAAGGTGATTGATTGCCTTAGAACAATGGCAGGTATACCATCAGGGCCTATACTCTGGGAAGGTTTAAGAGATTTTAAACATTTCAGAACATAAGAAGTATTGAAAAAGTCACTGGTCATGTTGTTAGTTAGATTGAAGGCAAAAGGGACATTTGGGGGCGGATAAAAGATCTATTGAGAGTATTTACATCAATAGAAGATGCACAATTACTATGCTTACCAAAACCTGTAATTTCTCTAAAAAGCTTCCACATGTTTTCTGAAGTTTTACAAGACAGTATTGTTTGATTATAAATGTTGTTTAGTCTCTTGATTTCAGATTTAATTTGGATGTTTATCTTCCTAAGACCAGATTTATTCTTTGTCTTGTACAGCTTCTTCTTCTCTTCGAAGCTTTTTGAGATGAAGGGAAGAGAAGCGGTCCATTCTGTTTTGGACAACATATATCAAGGCATAATTTAAGATAGTCAGTCAAATTGGAAATAGTATCATCCAGTGTGTGTTTGTTGAAAAGTTCCCAGTTTGTGTCATTTAGCAGACATCTTAGTTTGAGCACATTCCCCTGTGAGTAACATCTTCGCTGTGTTTTCCTGGACAGATTTGAGAGGATATTAAAGGAGGATATTAAAAATAAGTTTGTCTCACATATTTTACTTAGTTTTCTTATGCTTTGAAGTTTTTGTAGCAGTTCAATAGATTTTCCGGTATAGGGTCGTTAACCTCATGTCTAACCCTCCCTCTTTACTCTCATTTGGGACCGACTAGAAGGCTAACGAGCTAGTAAACTAAGCGAGGTCAACATGATCAGGGTGAGGCGCATGCATATAGCATACAGCCTTCTTCAAACTTTGCACACAACCAACAGGTCACGTACTCTTCTATCGCCCTTGGCAGATCTGGCAGCAAAAGTCACAAGAACGCCATCAGAGCATGCGACGGGGGCTTGGCACCCCATATATACTGGCATCTGCATGCTGTAAGTCTATAAAAAATCATCTAATATTTAGACACAATAGCGCTAGGGAGACTGAATAGCCTACCGACATGTTGTATACGGGTCTATTGTTCTCACTTGTCTTATTTGTCTTATTGTAATGACCTCATGTATTATACTGTAACCTGCATCATATTTTTGTCAATTTCGAAATAGCAGAACATACATCCAAATGAATAAACAAACATACCTATTATCATTATTGACTATTCTAACCCAATTCGAAACTACTTTTGTACAAATATAATCCTGTTATAGAGAACTTTCTGTGATAAATGCTTTATTTCATATACTGTCACACTATTGATGGACATTGAATGAGCAACGCATATAGTTCGTTTATTCAAATGGATCCCCATTTTAGCGGGAGTTAAAAATGGCGGTCATGGCCTCATTGTAGACTATTTGGCAGAAGATTCGAGAAAAACGATCAATAACACTTTGATGTATACTGCATCCTGATAGTCTTGGTTTATTGTCGGTAAAGAGATAAACAATCCTTGAATTGGTCGGTCTATTTTCTGATATTCTCGAGTCAGTTACATCACACAGTGTATTCTGAGTTGCAATGACTAATCTTCTGTCAACATCACAAGGTTCAGGATCTGTGGAGTTGACAACCTTTGAAGCTGGCATCTTGACATACATCAACAGAGATCAGTGATTTAGATAAAATAGAATTGAACTAGTGATTCGAAGACCGCTAGTTCGAATCCTCATGAGATTCAGATTTCTATTTCACATAATTATATTACTTAACAGTTTTACCCTTACCAAGGTATATCTTAAAGTAATTATTCATATTAAAACGAACTTGAGTTATGTAATTATCTTGCACTTTGAAGTTTCTGTACCGGATGGTTTTCTTTTCCGGGGTAGGGCCACTATTCCCACTCTCAAACTTCTGTCGTTTCCTGGACTTAGGATCGGCTATGGAGTGGAGTACCCTAAGTCTTTATCAACCCCATTCAACAGCTACATAACAGTGGCATGTATCAGCTGACCCATAAAGAAAGACTAAGCGAAGACTTTGAGGTGAAGACAGGAGTACGACAAGACTGTCTGTCTACTGTCACCGATAATATTCCTAATTGTGGTGGACTCAATCAAGCGACAGACCGTACATGGGGAGTGTGGAGACAGGAATACGTTGGGCAAAAAAGAAGACTCTATCCGATATGGATTTCTTGGGTGATTTGTTTAATGTCACACAAACTCGAAGACTTACAAAGGAAAGCCGACAAACTGGTGGACCAGGCTGGCGAAAATACAGGATTTCAAATGAACACCGAGAAAGTGGAGGTGATTAAGATTGCCAGTCAATCAACAACAACAACAACAGCAGCATGCGCCGATTACTTTCAACGGGAGAAATTTCAAAGAGGTCACTTATCTGGGAAGCATCGTTTTAACTACGGGTAGACGGCATACGGATGAGCACGTCAAAGGCAAAATGGATTGAAAAGGCGAGATAGACTTTCATCACTCTGAAATCAGTCTGGAAATCTTCATTCAGCATAGAGAATAAGATTCGTACTTTCAACACCAATATTAAGTCAGTCAGTTCTTCTATATGAGTCATAAACTTATTGCGCCACCAAAATCATTTCCAACAGGCAGATGAAGACTTTTATCAACAGCCGCCTTGTTTAGCTCTATACTGCAGATCAGATGACCGGTCAGAAAGAGACAGCAATAAGAAACTCTGAGAACAAACCAATCAAAAGCCTATCGCTCAAGAAATATTCCGCAGAAAATGCAGATAGACTGGATACACACTGAGGAGACCGTAAGTTGACATCGCACGCCAGGACATAGCTCGAGTGAGTCCCGAATGGGAAACGACGAATTATGGGTGTGCTTGATGGTGACATGGAGGAGCTCGTGTTAAGAAGAGAAGGTGAGAGACTACGGCCAACTGTGGGACCAATTGAAGAAGGCCACAGAGAATGCGGTAACGTGAAGATATGCTGTTAAAGCCGAGGTGATGTTTTACTCGGAATCGGAGGAAAGGAACAATAATAAAATAATAATAATAATAAATATTAAAAATCATAAACCAATCACTATGTTTTGTAAATAGGATAATAAGACTTGGTGAGAATTACCGTAATGGATTCATTATTCAGCGCTTGTGTAATGAAGTTGGTAACCACTCGACCATCGTTGATTTGCATTCTCGGTCCATAAGTATTAAAAATGCGAGCAACTCTAACTGGCAAGTTCAACTGTAAACAGAAGTAAAAGCGAGCATGTATACGGAGTTTAATAAAATACCTCTCTACTAGATCAACAATTCTTAGATGAAAGAGTAGGTGAGCTGTAAAGCTAAGGATGAACCACTATACAGTTGTGAAGTACTGGTCATTCAATCGATTCTCAGAAGTAGTGGAGTCTGAACCCTTAATCGATTCGTTCAAGGGATTAGACAATGACTGACATCAAATTAATGGCTACATATCTGAATCCAAAGTATTCACTCAAAAGTAGATATATATCATCATCAAAATCGATGGAGTGAGGCATTGGTTTAAGGGTTCCCCATTAAAATTCCACTCTATCAGGGACATCACTCCTTATACATCGTCTGGGAAATGAAAACGGTGTTACGGGAAATGCTTTTAAACAAGAGATTTCGTTCCATTATGGGTAAATTTTGTTTTGATAAAGTCTCACAGTGTTATACAGTAATGTTTACTGATGACGTTTCGAGCACAATTTATTGCTCATAATCATATCAAGGTAATCACACGACTTCCTAAATTCATTTATATAGTTCCATTGTTTTTCTCTTGATTTTCACTTGATTTGATTGGTAATAGTATTTTCCATATTTCAGGTATGAGTGACGAGTCATTCCTATTGCATGTGTTGGGTGTAGACTCGATGAACAAGGATTCAGTAATCAACCTCTCTCTCCACCTACCTAGATTACTTTTTAGAATTTTAACCCTCTCCCACCCTATTGTGTGGTTGTGTGTTAGCGCATGCATTGCAATTGCTGAGCTTTTTTCTAAATTACTTATCTTCTCGGGGTCAACCATTCTAACCTTAGCTAAATTTTTATGCTCTGACAATCTGACTACCCCTGACCTACTAGTTTGACCTATGTAGTTGACCTCACAGTCATTGCATGGTATTTTGTAAATAATATTATTTTGTCTAATTGGGTCAACTGGGTCCTTTAACCTACAGAGCTTGTCCCTGAGTGAGTTTGTAGGTTTAAATGCCACCCTAATTCCTATTTTATTCAGAATCCTACGTAGTGTCTCAGATGTCCCCTCTTTATATGGTATAACTGTGGATGACTTATATTCTTTCTTATTTATGTTATTATTACTAGTTTCACAATTATTTTTATTTTGTTTTTGGCCTTTAGTGATCTTCCTAATGAATTTTATAGGATAGTTATTCAACACCAACGCTTCTTCTATCTGTTTTAATTCATCATTTAGATCGTTTTTTGTGCTACTTAGTGCCACTGCTCGGTTTGCTAAACATTTAACTAAGCCTGCCTTAACAGTTAAAGGATGAGACGAATTAAAGTCTAAATATCTATTAGAATGCGTTGGTTTTCTATAAACACTAGTGTGTAGTTTGCCTTCTTCTATTCTTTTTATCTTACAATCTAACATAGCTAATTCTCCTTGTTCATTTTCTGATTCAAATGTGAATTTTATTCCCTCAACTTGTGAGTTTATGTGTGTCAAGAAGCTAGAGATGTGTTCTGTTTTTAACACTGTGAAAGTGTCATCCACATATCTCCACCATATTTTCGGAGTAGGGTTAAATGTATTGAGGGCACTATTTTCCCAGCTATCCATAAATATGTCTGCTACGATAGGGGATATTGGTGATCCCATTGCTACACCTTCTGTTTGTCTATATATTTTGCCTTGGAACTTAAAGATAGTAGATGTGAGGCATAACTGAATCCCTAAAATAATTTCTTCAATGGACAGCTTTGTCCTATGACTGAGTTCCGGATCCGCAGTTAATTCTTTTTTAACTGCTTCTAAGGCCATATTAACTGGTATATTAGTATAAAGACCAGTTATATCAAAACTAACCATTGTTTCATCATTCGCTAGTTGAATGTCATTTAGTTTATTTTTCATCTCATATGAATTAGTTAATCTAGAGTTTGAACGATTTCTAAATGGTTTAATTTAATGCCTAAAACTAATAATGCTAGTAGAATATATGGTACTATAAAAATACATAAGCCAGGTAACCCCATAAGACCAATAGTAGATTTTAGAAATACCCCCACGTATGAAGTATCAAAACACTTAGCTCTAATACTATGCCCCATTAGAAATCGTTCAAACTCTAGATTAACTAATTCATATGAGATGAAAAATAAACTAAATGACATTCAACTAGCGAATGATGAAACAATGGTTAGTTTTGATATAACTGGTCTTTATACTAATATACCAGTTAATATGGCCTTAGAAGCAGTTAAAAAAGAATTAACTGCGGATCCGGAACTCAGTCATAGGACAAAGCTGTCCATTGAAGAAATTATTTTAGGGATTCAGTTATGCCTCACATCTACTATCTTTAAGTTCCAAGGCAAAATATATAGACAAACAGAAGGTGTAGCAATGGGATCACCAATATCCCCTATCGTAGCAGACATATTTATGGATAGCTGGGAAAATAGTGCCCTCAATACATTTAACCCTACTCCGAAAATATGGTGGAGATATGTGGATGACACTTTCACAGTGTTAAAAACAGAACACATCTCTAGCTTCTTGACACACATAAACTCACAAGTTGAGGGAATAAAATTCACATTTGAATCAGAAAATGAACAAGGAGAATTAGCTATGTTAGATTGTAAGATAAAAAGAATAGAAGAAGGCAAACTACACACTAGTGTTTATAGAAAACCAACGCATTCTAATAGATATTTAGACTTTAATTCGTCTCATCCTTTAACTGTTAAGGCAGGCTTAGTTAAATGTTTAGCAAACCGAGCAGTGGCACTAAGTAGCACAAAAAACGATCTAAATGATGAATTAAAACAGATAGAAGAAGCGTTGGTGTTGAATAACTATCCTATAAAATTCATTAGGAAGATCACTAAAGGCCAAAAACAAAATAAAAATAATTGTGAAACTAGTAATAATAACATAAATAAGAAAGAATATAAGTCATCCACAGTTATACCATATAAAGAGGGGACATCTGAGACACTACGTAGGATTCTGAATAAAATAGGAATTAGGGTGGCATTTAAACCTACAAACTCACTCAGGGACAAGCTCTGTAGGTTAAAGGACCCAGTTGACCCAATTAGACAAAATAATATTATTTACAAAATACCATGCAATGACTGTGAGGTCAACTACATAGGTCAAACTAGTAGGTCAGGGGTAGTCAGATTGTCAGAGCATAAAAATTTAGCTAAGGTTAGAATGGTTGACCCCGAGAAGATAAATAATTTAGAAAAAAGCTCAGCAATTGCAATGCATGCGCTAACACACAACCACACAATAGGGTGGGAGAGGGTTAAAATTCTAAAAAGTAATCTAGGTAGGTGGAGAGAGAGGTTGATTACTGAATCCTTGTTCATCGAGTCTACACCCAACACATGCAATAGGAATGACTCGTCACTCATACCTGAAATATGGAAAATACTATTACCAATCAAATCAAGTGAAAATCAAGAGAAAAACAATGGAACTATATAAATGAATTTAGGAAGTCGTGTGATTACCTTGATATGATTATGAGCAATAAATTGTGCTCGAAACGTCATCAGTAAACATTACTGTATAACACTGTGAGACTTTATCAAAACAAAATTTACCCATAATGGAATTACACTCTACCACAGTGCACAAGTTTTATTCTTATATGAAGAGATTTCGTTGCAAAATGAAATTGCTATTGTTTATTTTCTTGTCGCTAATTGACATATGTTAGGTCCATCGTAAGTCAGCAATGTTAGGATGTTCCAAAGTTATGAAGAAACAGCTCTTTAGTGTTCTTTATTTCAGTTTTTCTTTAACTGATGTGAGTTTTTTTCACGAAATTCAAGTCAAAATTATTCAAATCAACACTTAATGAACTCTAGAGAGAGATAAAAAGCGAGTTTTCAAGGTATACTAACAGTTTTCATGGCTGATTGAATTTGAATATAGAAGAAATTAGCACAAAAGTGCAAGACAGTTCGAGTTGCCACATTTCATGTAGCGAACATTAAGTAGAAAACGAAACTCAAAACAACTGTAATAAGCAGAGATGTGAAGTAGAAAGAATAGCAGCATGGGGATCACAACGAGTGAGTGGATGCATCTGTGCCATTGAGAATGATTTCGAACTATATCACCAATTGTCTCTAGCCATCTGTCCTTACCATTTCGACAAATTCAGCCAGTCAGGCAGACGTGGCTGGCTTAAATCAGCTGTCAAAGACTTTATGGACTGATGCCAGGTTTAGGTTTCCGTGATATGAATTAAGGAAACATAAGTCAGCACAGAGTTCTTTTTACATAACTTTTCTTCGAAGCTGTACACAGTTTTGACGTGTAAATGTTATTATTATTATTTTTATTTCCTTTAATTCGTGGAGGAACATAGAGCTTCAGCCACGCGTCTCCATAGCGTTCGGTTCCCTGCTAAAGTTTTCACCTATCTCCAGCTCCACGTCTGCCCGCATGCTTTCTTCTCCTCTTCACATGACCTCCTCCAAGTCACCCTTGGACGACCAACTCGCCGCTTCCCTTTCGGGTTCCATTCGAGCAATGGCTTGTCTAGTGATGTCACTTGATGGTTTGTTTTGTCAGAGTATGACCAGCCAGTCCACCTCCATTTCTTCCTGCTTATTTGTTGCACACTCGGTTCCTGGTTGCTTCGCTCCCAAAGAAATCTGTTGTTGATCTTTTCTGACCACCTGATCTTGAGTAATGAACGAAGACAGCTGTTAATGAAGGACTGTAGTTTGTATGAGGTGCTCCTTATGACGCGCCAAGTCTCTGATCCGCATAGTAAGTAGCACTGACTTCACATTCGAGTTGAAAATCCAGCTGTTTTTATTTTTCATGCTGAGGGCCGTTGATCTCCACACAGACTTGAGAGTAATGGAAGCGTGTCTTGCATTCCCGATCCTCGATTTGATATCCTCATCAGTTCCGTCCACCTGTAGTTGTGACGATGCTTTCCAGGTAGTTAGGTAGATGAAGGAGGTTGCTTCTTTCAGATTTCTCCCATT